ACTGGCTCCTTATGGTGGCCGGGATGCCTCTAAAATTCAAGATTCATTCATCCCAAGATTGCCACAAAGGTAACTGACAGCAAATTAAATTCTTTTTTCCCTTAGCAACAAATAACTAAACAGGTAAAACGATAAATACAGTTCGCCCAGGGTATCTGTGTTGATGAAAAGAATGCGAAAAAAACCGGGTTTGCATTTGGTTGTTGCCACGTCTAACCTTCGGAATTGCTGTTTATGTTGGTAGCTTCGGTTTTAAATTCTAAACGAACTGTAGATTTGGCAAGCCCTAACGGATAACATTCTGAACACTTATTGGAATCAAAAGTGATATTTTCGTGTGTTTTGTTTTCTATGTCTACAAATTAAGATAAATAAGGGTTCTGCTAATTTTCTCGAAAACGAATCGACTGATTTTATTAAATAAAACGTCAAAATAAAGGACTTCGAAAGACCTTCCAAATAAGCTATTACTCGATACCCCTTCTCATTAAAAATTTTCAAGGGAATGGCCCTGGGGGTCCGATGGTGAAAGGAGGTGAAGTGGTTTTTGGTTAAAAAGTTGTCCCCCTGAAAAGTCTTTTGACGTGTCTCGGCGCTTTTTCTTTTAATCAGTGGTTTTCGATAAATTCGTGGTGGGAACTTTTCTAATAAACTATATCGTTTCATTTGTCCAGGAAAACATGGACGTTTATAGGCATTTATAATTGAGAGATTAAACGAACTTAGCTAAGTGAAGTTTAATCTTAATTATATGAGCCTCGCCGGAATAAATAAGGATAAGTGTAGTAGCTCTGCTTGCAGTCAAATCTCACACACTTCAAAGCAAATTTTCTCACCCTGGATACAGTCCTGTCCTTACCGCCACTCCGTCGAACGCTCATACCTGTTCAAAGCTTTGTTGCAACATATTGGGGAGGGTAGAGTAAAGGTCGGGAGCTTATTTATATCGGCGAGGCTCATATAATTAGGATTAAACTTCACTTAGGTAAGTTCGTTTAATCTCTCAATTATATTGCGCCTCGCCTTCATAAATAAGGATAAGTGTAGTAGTTCAAAGTAAGTTTCAACAACTTGTTTAGTATCATCAAGTTACATATGCGTAATTATATACATATTAGTAACTGCAAACTTAACAGTGATTTCCACTATTTCTCTATAGTGAACAAGAACAACTATTTCTAATTTCTTTAACATTAGGCACACCTGAACACTGCTTCCGAAAAGTCAGACTTACTAGAAACTAATGATTTTTGATAAAATCTTGCGAATGTTTTAGATTTTTCCGTCCACCCCGCGGCCAACCGGATGCTATCATATCTTATCCCTTTCCTGGAGGTGGCAGAAGTAGCTGAATGTCTAGTGCTCTGACCACAAAAAGAACTTATGTCTATACCACTCTTTAATAACATACTTTTTAACTATCTGCCGATGGTTTGAGCAGAGGCTATTCGATGCGGCCTTTTAAAACATAGAAACAAACTCAGTTCATTACCTCGAATAGCCTTTGTTTTTTCCAGATATAACAGTAACGTTTTTGCTGGGCAAATATTCACATTATCCGGAAAAAATGGCAAAACTAATGTGGGCTGCATTTTGTTAACGCCAGATGTCTTGATCCTTTTAGATATGCGGATTTCTAACCGATCTGAGAAATTTTGAATATTACACACTTCCATACTAGCTAATGTTTGGACGCGTTGGCCTGTTGATAAGGCGATGAGCATGGCCATCTTGAGAGTTAACTGTTCTAAAGTAGGATTTGTAGAATATGAATTTTTTATATAGTTCAAAACTATTCCCGGATCCCAGGTGTTGTAATACTTAGGGAGCGGAGGCCTTAAGCAACTCAGTCGTTTGAAAAATCTTTTAATTCTGAAATCTTCACTAAGATTTGGCCCTAGAATCTGTGAAAATGCTGCTCTATATGAATTCAGAGAGCTAAAAGAAGACCCCTTATTGAAATGAAATGTTAGAAATTTAAGTACTGCAGAAACCGACTGGGTGTAAATATTTATTTTTTCCCGATTGCAATATTCCAACCAAATCCACGTTGTACTGCTTAATTGTGTTATCTGTAACTGATGCAAGACATATATTTAGCGATTCCGCGGGAACGTCTCCCAACATCAACGCCTGCCTGATACAATTCCTGCCACCAGGGTAGTCTTTCTCCAAAGGGGGTGTGGTGACCTGTTGAAAGACATTAACATCTTGGATAGCCGAAATTTTCTTGGATTACATTCTAAAAGGGATGTAAACACAGGATACCATGGTTGAGATGTCCATAGGGGACGACAAGAATGCCCCTTGCTCCATTGAGAATGATTTTATTCAATACCCGCAAAATTAGTGAAAATGGCGGAAATGCATAAAAATAGAGCTTTCCCCAAATCAACGTGAAAGCATCAATTGCCATACTCTCGGGGTCTCTCAACCATGAAACAAAGTTTTTGCATTTTGCATTAATTCTACTCGCAAACAGGTCAATTTCAGGCTTGCCAAACTGTGCAACTATGTTTTCGAATGCAGATACTTCCAGGGTCCACTCCGTCTCGGTTTCCAAACTACAAGATTCCAAATCTGCTTCCTTATTATCGGCTGATTTTATGTGGCATAAAGGAATAAGTTTCTTGTTTCACACCATTGGCAAATGGTGCGCGCCAGACTATTAAGTTTTGAAAATCGCACACTACCCATTTTATTAATGTAGGCCAAGGCTGTGGTGTTATCCACCCGACACAGGAGGTTACAATTAGATAGGTTAGCTGCAAAACATTTTAGCCCAAAGAAAACTGCCAACAGTTCTCGATAGTTTATGTGATGTAGTTTTTCAATGTCCGACCAGAACCAGTGCGACTTTTTCCCAAAGCAGCTAATACCCCAGCCAGTGTCTGATGTATCGGAAAAAATTTCTATAACAAACGAATCAACTTGAATGAAGTTTTTTGCCTGTGGCAAGTTATTAAACCACCAGTTAAAATCGTGAATAAGTGTTGGGGAAAGTCGCATGATTGCATCAAAATTCCCTCTCGACTTGGGTAATGCTAAGTGTTTTTCCCGTTCGAAGTTTTTTGTGTACAACCATCCGTACTTGATTCCAGGACAGATACTGATTAGTTTGCACTAGCTGTCTGGATTTTAAAACTTTTTCATGAGGAATACGAATAGACATATCTATAGAATTATAAATGAATCCAATATATTGAATTGACTGGGATGGGGCTAAAATGGATTTCTCGTAGTTTGGCAGGAAGCCTAATGAAAGTAAGAGGTTTAGGGTCTCCTTAAGATTAGAGAGACGCTCTTCATGAGTGTTACCAAACAATAGAATATCATAAAAGTAAATAACAGATAAAAACCCTTTTGCTTTAAGAAAAGTAATAACGGGTTTCATTAATTTTGTATAAATGTAAGGTGCTATGTTTAGCCCAAAAGGCATACACCTAAATTCATATAGCTGCCCACAAAATTCGAATCTTAAGCATTTCCTGTATTTTTTGTGCACTGGTATTAGAAAATACGCATCTTTTAAGTCCACCTTACACAGGAAACAGTTCCTGCGGACTAAATTCTATACGGTGCGACTATCTTCCATCTTAAAGTGGCTGCAATTTATATGTCTGTTGACATTTTTCAGAATGAGACGATTAGAGCCATCGTTTTTTGGCCTGAGAAAAATTTTAGAAATGTACTGCTTATCACTCGCCGAAGCCATGGTAATGGCTCCCGTTAGTAGTAATTTAACTATGCAAACTTGGATAGAAGCTTGATCCTGAAGTGACCATGAGGTAACTGCAAAATTTTGTTGTTTAGGATAATGTCTAAATGGTAACTTTGAACCTTTAACACAACTAAGGACTAATTTATCCTGAAAAACCCTAAGCCAATTGGGGTAGAAATGTTTAAGCCTACCAGCGACACGCACCTCAGAGGTTGGATTCATTGCCAACTGCGATTCTTACGAACCGATTTTGCCGGCTTTGGTTTTATGGTCTTCCCGGACACCTCCAAGCTGTGGGAAGCCTTGAGACGCTCCTCCAAATTTGTTATATCTTCGTTGGCCTTTTGGAAATCCTGGTTTAAATTAATCGAAATTAATCCTCTGCGAGTCACCGTTTGTTGATGAGAAAAAAAAACGTCTAGCATTAATCTGCTTGCATCGTTGAGCAGTTTGATGTATTTTCGGTTGCCCCCCCCCCCCTCTTCAGCCAATATTAAGCTAAAGAGTTGGCCCGTAGCGGCTAAACATGCGGCTGTTTGACCCTGTAGAGCCATCAACCGAGCGTCCCTTTGTAAATTTGAGGGTGATATCGCCTTGACAACCATCGGGTTAAGTTTTGGGGAGGCCACAGCTTTTTGCCAACGGGAAACTAAACCTTTGTGTAAATTCGGCTCATAAATGAATGTGTTGGTATCAGGTGTGTCCAGGATTTCGACGACATCTTCTGAGAGCTCGACACCAGGAGGAGGGGCGTCTCCTTGCCCTGGAAGAAACAACATTTTTATTCCACCTGGATGTGTTAGCGTATCATCAACACTATTGTGACACGTTGTCCCAACTTGACCAGAAACTGTGAAGAGCGGGATAAACGGAAGGTATGCTCATTGATACCTTATCATCCAGCCAAAAACAAAAAAGGTACTCTCATCGATACCCGGCAAAATACGTAAGTACACTCATTGGTACCAGACGAAATAAATAGGTACCCTCATCGATACCTGCTTAGAGAATGGGTGAACTGCCTTGATACCCTGAAGTACGAAAAAAGGTTCGAATGTTACTCACCAGCCGAAGGTAAACAAATCGGTGAACCCGTGCAATTTGAAGCGTGGCCACCGGACCATTATACTCGAACCAGGGGGAGTCCTTGATCTAGATGACAGAGAGAACTCCGACGACTGAGACGATGAAGACAAAGACGACACTACTCTCCGATGTCGTTTCCGTACTGGGCTTCGGCTGCGGCGACCTTCAATTTTCCGCAATCTCTTAGTAATGTCTTGAAGACAATTCATTACATCACCCATATTTCTTGCATTTTCCGCGCTAGATTCGCGTGAAAGGCTGCAGTGCTTTCGCTTAATTGATTTTTTGGGCATGACACCCACAATTTGAAAAAATCCCGGCACTAAGGTACGCACTAACCGGGAACGAACTGCTCGATTCGACACACAAACAAAGTATGAGCGTTCGACGGAGTGGCGGCAAGGACAGGACTGTATCCAGGGTGAGAAAATTTGCTTTGAACTGTGTGAGATTTGACTGCAAGCAGAGCTACTACACTTATCCTTATTTATGAAGGCGAGGCGCAATATGAGGTAATTCTAGTCATTAAATTCCAATATGATCATCATAGTCGTAAAAAGTCGGGGGGTCGATTTTCAGGTACAAAACGGGTCGCTTCCTACCACTGTGCACGCGATTCGCCCATGAGACGCCTTCCTCCATAACACGAATATGGAAGGGTATTTCAAAATTTGCTCTTTTTTTGGTAAGTTTAGATTGGATAAAAATGTAATGAAACTAGTGGAATTAATAAACATTTTATTGAATTACATAAATAGTTCCTAGTGAAATGAGAAAGCTAGGACTAGCTATAACATACATACAGGAAGTCTGACTTTGTACAAATATACAAATATAATATGGAAGTATAAGATGAATGAGATTATAATAATTATGATATGATAACATCTGATATCTTATTTTTTCCTCGAACATTGCAATTTACCTAATTTTAATAACATTTTCCTAGTCATAATTTGCATTAAACAGTGAGAAAAATGGCAGTATCTAATTTTGGTCGAATACGTTTTTAAATATCTTATAATAACAGGCATTTTTTAGACGATACATGTAAATGTAAATTGGAATCATTTTCCTAGAATAAATATTATAGGTATAACATCAAAAAAAGTTATTTATATAATACAAAGGAAGAATTATGCTATATTCAGTACATCATAACACGTCATAAAACTTTACATAACTCTTAACAAAGGAGCTGACTTTAAAGAAATAATAAATATTTGGTCCAAAAAACTAAATTTATTTACAAAGGAAATACCTTAAAATAAAAACAGGCAAATATTCGCAGAAATAATTTTATGTATATGGTTATTATACAGCCATCCTGTCCAAAAAATTATGAACACCAAATAAATATATTTGTACAAATAAAGGGTAGTGTTCAATAAAAATTTGACAGAAAAAGCGCTTACTTTGACTGAGTGACTGAACACTTGACTGGTAATCATACATTTCAGGTAATTTACTTTCTCCTAGAAAAACTTAAAGGTAATCAAAAAATAAAAAACATGCTTAACAAATAAGTCGCCCTATTTCGCATGCGGTATTGCATGATACACAAATATCACAACATATGTATGTATACGGGTCACCAATTCAAATTTCCGACTTTTACAGATCACAGAAATGAAAACCCAGAAAAACATTAAATGCGAACATTAAAATAAGACTCATGTCGAATCAAGTAATTTTTCTAATGAATTTTCCAGGACTTTCTAGAACTTTAGTGGAGTACCATACAGTACGTTGTGCCATTGGTATATCTTACATCAACCTCAACGTGTTCATAGAACATAAGAAATGCATATAGTGATGTAATATAGTAAAAAATATACATCTGAATGTTTTATTTCAAATTGAGTATTTGGAAATTTATGAAATGCTACGCATACGTCAAGAACAGTCTTATGGCTATATAGTCTCAATGTTTCGTGATTATAAGGTATATCAAAAATGTTTATTGCGAAGGCGATATCGATAATAAATATGACCACGGTAATATTGAAGCAATAATTGGTTCAAAGGTTTTAAACAAATAATTTCGTGATGTGGTTAAGGTGAAAGGCATTCTTCACAGGTACCATCACGAGTAAAACGATGATGTTCTGCACCTATTTCATTAGTCAGAAGAGTAAACATACCCATTCATATGTGTACATAAGTAAAAATTTAATTGACACAGTGTATTGACAAAAACTATCAAAATTTTGCCTCAAGTACCAAATTCATATACTGCAAATCTGATTTGACATATACTTCAAATGTTCGTTTTTTTTTTATTATTGAGCAACAATGTTTATTCACTTTGAGCCATTTCTGGTATTGACTACCTAAAGAAGAAACACGACGAGTTGTTTAGCGTGAATAGTTCATGTAGGAAGGAAATGAAATTCCAAAAAATATTAATAACGAATAAATTTTTCTACTAAAAATATTATTAAAACATGGTGATGCAAAATGAGCGTGGTTTCCAGATATAAGTTTTATGAATGTTATACATATAAGGAACTCTTGACGTCCATTTATCTACGGGATTTGTGTCCAATGACAGTGTGTCGCAACAATTCTCGACAATGAAGTAAAAAAAAGACACCTACATGTCAAGCACTGTTGAGTGACTCAAGTCCCATGCAAAAATGAGCGTTTGGATAATGCTTAAGTGGCAGTTTATGTCAAGTCAGTTTTAATTGACAGTGCGCATACTGCCATCAAACTAGAAAAAGACACTTTTAAGGCATTTTCAGCAGTAAACTAGCGAAATGAAATACGTACTTTCATAAATTTCCTCAAAAATGTCATCGCAGAACCTTTTAGCACCGTTCCTCTTAGGATACCAGCATATTAACGACAAACTCAAATGTATAGGGTTTATGGAAACATTCTGCACTAAAAAATCTTACAAGAAGAAGAATGCGAAGTGTATCTCTACACATCAATGTATTCGCTGGGTGAACGACAATTTCGGACTCTTCGCGGAGGTATTTGGGGTTTGAATGTTCAACTGACAATCATTTACTGTTTTTCGCACGTTGACAGGTCTCAGTTGATCACACACGATACAGATTTCGTCATAGAGACCACCTGTATATTCCACTGTCAGTCCGATGGAGTCTTCCTTTTGGTCCACCGCGTGATTGCGATCGATTTAGTCCTTCTTGTATGCTCTTCGCTCCCGGCATATGGTATCGAATTAAATTCAGTGACAAAGACTCACTTTCGAGATACTTCTTAAATCCGGTATTAATAAAGAATTATCCAAGACTCAACGTGTGTTCAAACCCTTAAGTATATTTTTTCCTTAAGTTCTTTTATTTTTTTATGAATGGCTGTCGCTGGTATATTGGTATCCTAGAAGTAAAATCACACCAATACATCTTACACTCTACACATATCCTATAATACATTTCGACGTTGTTTCTTATCAAATGTTTATGTTTAAATTGTAATTGTGGCAGTAGCCTTAGCTGGTTGTCAATTCTTGGCACATCAAATACTAAAACGAAGGCACACTGTGCATCATCATCTAATCATCATCATCATTCACTGACACTTCTTTCTCTCCATCTCTCTTCCTTATCTCGGATGCGAAAGATATACGGGGCGGAATAATTTAAATTGACCAGCGGAAACACGTCAACATCACAAAAATTTATTTGTAGTCTTTGAGTTACAATAGAAAATGATTTTTTAGGATAATTTAATAATTGGGAATACAAATACTCCACACCGGACTAAATAACCAGATTTGTGAAATTTATTTCAGCAAAAACCAGTGGCGTAGAATTTTTTTCGTACCGTTAAAATGGTAAATTTCCAGGCCCATGTTTACGTTAACCTTTTTTCAAATTTTTAGGTGCAATATCTGCACATAAATAGTACTGGTAACGTTGTGTACAACTTGTACTTTAGTTTAACATAATAATTGGTGATTTTACTGTATACTCCATAGACGATGGGACAATAAATCAAAAACTCAAAATGTTAATTTCACCAGACCGTGGTCGTTAATCAGTTCGACAATATATAGTCCGGCGAACTTATTTCGCAATTTCATTAAACGACCATCTAATGAAATCAACTTCAAAAGCTTATTTATCAGACAAATCCCTAGAACAGAAGTCGTTGATGTCATCTGGTAACAGGATATAGTCCGGTGAAATTTCGCTGCTTCAACTTTACCTATGACGGGAAGTAGAAGTTGAGTAACAATTATATAAGTTTGTACTTCTCTCATACAAGTTTTTACTGCTTTCTGACGTTTGCCTCCATGAAAAGTAAGTTTTTGTGTATACCATCATAAAATGGATCTTTCTAGAAATATGAGAGTATACGTATTTTAATTTTATAGTAACAAAAGTAAAATATGACGAGTAATCCGCAAATCGATTCGAGTTAACCTTACATCAGACTTATTTTCCTATTTTCAATACAAAAACTTAATTCTTAAACACCCCGTATATGCCTACACGGCATACCATCAAGCTTGAATCAAAATTTCATGCACCAAAACTATGATATAAAAAATACTGGACACGCCAATCATTGTATAAACGAAAAAAGTCTAGTCTGAAACTATAGTATTGTCCAAGAACTGATAGTATAGTTTTATTGTAATATAAATTAATATTACAATTTTTTGTTAACCAAGCGATATACAAATAAAATTGGAAGGTTCCTTGTAACATGAACTACATTTTGGCATACCTATAAAGAGACTCTAGTAAGTCCTTCAAGATTCAGCGCAAGATTAGAATGGTAGAATCCTATAGTTTTGGATGCATTGGGTTCTGGTTCAAGCTTCACCTATGCAAGCGGCAAAAACGTGCATCTTTACCGCCGGCACAGATAGGAATGAATGTATATATGTATATAAAACTAGACGTATAAACCTAAATATTACGTGAAAAATTAAAAACGAATAGTTACAGTTTAAGCACAGCCTGTTCATTTATTTCTTTCCTTCCTTTTTCACCGCAATCACAAAAACTGTCCTGTTGAATTCCGGGTCGGAGGAATCTCTTTTGCCTTTCATCGTATCAAAAACTGAATAGAGCTAGGATACACATTTATATACCATAAGCATACAGTCAGGGATAAATGTTTTAAGTAAACAATCTATCTGTAGTAGACCTTAAATACCTTGGACAAGCCTTAGGAGAAAAGATTCTCACCCTTCGTATTATTTTTAATGTCCAAAGCTTTTACCCAAGACTGTATTAGTGAAACAACTTTATACAGGGTACATCAAAAAAATGCATTTTGAGGGTCTATATTTAAACGTATGAAAATTCAGTCTTGACAATACTTTTTTTTAGAAACACGGTCCAGTCTAAGTCAGCTTAGAGTAGAAAAAGACAACTTATATGTCAATAATAAACCTTATACAATATATAGGAATATGCTTCCACATATCTACTTGGACTGGAGGTATCAGCAGTTAAAAATCCCGCGTACATAAAAAGTTTCAAATCTAGTAAACCACGTTTCTCTGACATATCCTGTATAATAAAATTGGTTATTATTTTTTAATATAGATATAATTTTTCGCTAATAAGTATTCAGTTCCATTATACTAACACGAAGATTGACACGTGTAAAGCAGATATTTTCACGAAAATCACAGTAAGTATATTATCAAATATTAATTTAGAAAATTCCTACTAGGTTTACAGTCAGCCGATAGGTACAGCCTCAAATGCAAAATATATATTCGTAAATCAAAATTCAAAGGATCAGGTTTCATAGGAGATTATTGTAGCTGAAAATGACTCAAATTTTGAGTTGATAGTATATATGAAACCTTTGAGTTGAAATATTCATAAACATATGTATATTTTTATCTTTAAGCAGCATTTTTATTAAAGTAGTAGTTGGTTGTCCTCTAAAAGTCAATTTTGGCATTTTCGTCAAAAATTAGCCCTTTTTCGAATATCGATTTTTACGTTTACATGAGCGAATGGTGGCTCTCTGTCACAATATATATATAAAAATATAACTTTTGTGGCACTGCAGTGACACTACAAAGAAAAGTTAAAGCGTATGAATACGTAATTATAATGAGTATCCAGGTTTTGTGTTTCAGCTTATTAAATTATAGATTTGAAGTAGAAAGGTGTTACAACCATGCGCTCATAAAAATATTAACTTAATTGAAAATTTTCGAATTTAGAAAAAAAATTAGGAAACTGTGAATCTTGGGCTTTTAAATAACAATCAACTAAATAAAATTTAGAATACCTATTTTCTGAAATATCTGAATGCGTATATTCTATAGATGAAATTAGTAGTTTTCACTCTCAGGATTGATAAATCCACTCATGATCCCCGTTGTTACAATTTGTGACACTAATTTTGAGTTTAGTGATGGCATATAAACATCTAACTGAGTTTTTCTAATAGAACGACCCATGTTACTTCCCTTATGTTAGCCAATAACCATTTTTTCCGGCAAAAAGGAACTTTAATAAAAAAAACTATAGCGCAAATGAATTTTGTAATATCTCCTATGTCATCAATCCATGATGTCTACCTATCGACTCACTAAAAAATTCCGTTTACGGGATGCTTGATTCACCTAGAGACAATGTATATCCTAGAAATAGTAACAACATTTACTAAGGACAATAAAAATGCGCTAGATTCTTTCGGAAATCTTTTTTTGATTCTGACGTCGTACGTCCGCGTCATAATATCTATATTGTAAATTGTATCACAATGATTCGTACGTAGCCCCTAGGGATGTCAGGGGCTTATTGTATGTAGCGTCACTTAGGGGCCCGGAAGTATCGCAGCACTATGTAGCCCAGGACCCTGAAGACGAGTAAGAAGGCCAACAGGACCAGCGTGTTAGCCCATAGGGGCAAACATGGCCCCTGAGACTCGATTATCGAGGACACTGGGATGTAGTCTAATTCTGCGCAGATTGCGTACTTTGAATGTGGGGCACATCTGCAAAAGAAAAATAGTGTTAAGAAGATTTACTCGGGAGTTTTCACGCATTCATGTAGGTACATAGGTATATCGATCCTAAACCAGTGGTACTACGACAAGTATCGCTGGATATATCTGTTCAAATGGAGGAAGGTTTACAAATGCAAAAAGAGCTAATTCATTATCCGCTTTGAGATAAATGCCGACGAAGATACTGACTTTTTGATATCTTTAGTCTGACTTGGCTATTCATTAAGCAGATGCCACACGTCAGTATTTACCTACTGTGATCCACCAGAGCCAGCACGTCAGTTATTATTGATATAATATACTATATTATAAGGTTACACTGATAAAGTAGCTAATAGTGATACGCACCACAGTGAATACTGATCGCGTGACATTCGCCTTAGAGCAGGAATCTGGAGAAATTGAGTATACAAAACATAAGTTTGATTCAGAAACAACTTGATGACGATATGTCTTTGAGCGTCCATTTTCTAAATAGAGAGTAGGGTATCTAAAATATTCCTAGAAGTTGTCCTTTATAAAATATCTCGAAGACTATCAGGCTGGTTTTAACAAAAGTTTGACAATAACGAGAGATTTTAGGTATGTTTTAGTTTTCAATCATATCACTGGTCTTTTATGAGTTTTCTCGAACTTTTGGCTATCTTTACTTTCTAACAGAAGAAATTTGTTTTTTCAACGGAACCCGATATTGAAGGGTATGATTCCGACCGTGTTTTTTTTTTTTCGAAACAGATAAGAAATGTTTCTTTTGCATTATTTGATGAAACGATAGTATCCAATACTTGATAGACCATTGGCGTACATCAAAATACACCAAGGCAGCAGTCGCTAGCGCCCTATGGATAATGACATATCGTCGCTTAAACTCTAACATCGTGTAACTAAAGAAATTAAGATATGCACGTACTTAAAAAATATCACCGTGGTGGCAGAAGCGCGGTTAGTAAGCAGTATTTCAAACATACATATATGGTTTCATCTAGTTGCCTGACAAACATGGAGGATTATGAGAGATGCACCGTTATTTTTGATCTCCAAGAAGTTGTCACTTTTGAGTAACCCAGTGTCAGAACTTAAGCGCCGATATGGACTATTTAAGTCCAAATAAATACTAAAAATCACTTTATAATCCAGGTAATTTAGGGAAAATCTGCTCAAATTATTTGATTATAACTTGTGAATAGGCTTACTGGACGAGAACATGGGTCGCTTCAGTCTTTTTTATTACGGAAAACAGGGTTATAAATCATTTCTTATTTGTTTCGTCAAGGTATTATCTCATTTAGGGAATGAACGCTGGCCCCTCATAGATAAAATTGTTTTACACCAAACTCGGGCGAAGAATTTCCAAGATTTTGCAATAAAACCGCTAAAAATCAGAAAATGTACTATTCACCTTCTATACGAACTACACTGACCTCTAACCCTGTAACAAATATGTGCAGTGACACTTTATAAGAGTACAATAATTTTTGAAAAAATTGTTTTTTATAAAAATCTATTCTACAGCTTGAGGAAATCCAATGATTGTCGGCTACTGGTTATGTTGTAGGAAGGGTATTGTAGTTGCACGATAGTAGAAGTGAATTATCTTGCTGTGATTTAAAAAAATATAAAATAATATTTCTAAACTTGAATTGTTAAGAATGTACAAATGCCATGAAAATATATGTTTATTGATCAACTTTTTCTAAAATTACTGTTATTAAATGGAGCCATTTTACAGCCTACTTGAACAAAATGAACTCTCCAGGAGCAGTGGAGGGCGGGGGGAGATGATGTTAGATATACAAGAGGTCATTAATGGTTAATTATAAAGATTAAAAAAACGTACGTATAAAAAACGCTTTTCGAAAATTATTGTTATTAAATGGAGCTATTTTACAGCCTACTTGAACAAAATAAACTCTCTAGGAGCAATCGAAGGCAGGGGGAGATGATTTTAGATTAATAATAATTAAAATTATTGTCATTTTACAGCCTACTTCAACAAAATGAACTCCCCAGTAGCAGTGGAGGGCGAGGGGAGATGATTTTAGATATCCAAGAGGTCATTAACAGTTAATTATAAATATTAAAACGTACGTATAAGAAATGCTTTTCTAAAATTATTATTATTAAATGGGGCCATTTTAAAGCTTACTTGAACAAAATGAACTCTCCAGGAAGATGATTTTAGATATCCAACAGCTCATTAATGGTCAATTATAAATATTAAAACGTACGTATAAAAAATGCTGTTACTGTTTTTGTGCTAAAAATGGGACCAAAGTTCATCCCCTTAGCGATACAATAACTTGATAAAAGAAATAAAAAATTGATTTTTAACACTGTTTTTCGAAAATAATAAAAATGAAGCGGACTATTTTCCCTGGTACGATCCGCATTCTCGTTGAGCGACAGTTTCACACGTTTTCACCAAATAATTTCCTCCAAAAATTTTGCTATGTAACAATATGATGGAATGACATTGACATCCTAAAAATCGTTAACTTTCGACGTCGGAAGCACATGATTTTTTCCAATTGGACAACAAATGAGACAAATCGCGATAATATTTTTTGTTATTCTACATAGAAAATCCTTTCAAATGATTTTGGTTTGAGTACCAGAAAGCATGTACTTTGCCTATTCTCCTTTCAAATACGTAACGTCTTTTCTGAAGGGAACCACAATAGAGATTGGTTTTGATTCTAGAACATTACTAATATTATTGACCTCTGAAATGTGACTTACTTAATGGGCAATCCCTCTCCAAACTCGACTATCTGCATATTCTGGTACGCGTAGTGCACCATGGAAAGGTACCTCATCCACGTCAGCCAGTACGGGATGTTGGTGGCCAGGTACCCGCCAAACAGTTGCGTGGCCAACGTGTAGAGTGCGCTAATGGTGATGCTGACCTGCATGTCCATGCAGCAGGCGCCGATAAAGAAGCCTACCGATTGAGCTACGACGGTGTTCAGCAGAAGGAAGCCCAACATCGTGAGGAAGACCATGGGGGAATGAACTCCTGGAAAGATATCAAAGAAGAGGTGGTTTAGATACATGCTGAGAAAAAACATGGTAAGAGTTGGAATCTCCGAATCTGAGATCAATTTGTCCATCTCAGGTCATTTTAAAAGCGTTTCGATGTCATTTCAAGGTCCAGTTGATGAATTGCCGGGAAATCAAATCCACTAGACATGCGCTTGAACCCACGCTAATCAATCACCCCAAAGGAAACATAAATATATACCACGTCCAAGGGTAAAACCAACTTCCAATTCTGACTTAGCGACCCCAAAAATCTACGTACAGGTCTAGTAGATTTAATATCCCGACATTTTCTCAATTCTCGTTGACCTCGAAATGCACTTCAAATGACCCAATTGGGATACTCTGACCTCAGATTCGGACCTACGTACAGGTCTTCTCAATTTGACCTTGAAATTACTTCGGAACGCTCTTCAAATGACCTGATACGGACAAATCTGTCTCATACTCGGTTTTTCACCATTATCAACTTTCTGATAACTTTCAATTGGCTGGAAATGCTGAGTCAATCTACGTGACTCCTTTTTTCTATTTCGACAAAATACTATTTTAACGAGCTATTAAACTAAATTGCATATCGTTTGTACCTATACCTCCGGCGTTGCTATAATCCAGGAACTGATTTATATTCATAGAAAAAACATTATGTCCTCTAATTTGCCCATTTGAGGATAAAACTGTAGCGAAATGTATGCGTTTTTCAGATTTTTAGCGCCTGAATATATTAGCATAAAAACCACAGATAACCGTACATAGACAGGCCTAGTTTAACGTATTCCGAGGAAGTCTAAATTATTCAAAATGCTAATTTGCCAAAATCCATTAAATCAGTCAATAGGTCAATGACAAGTTCTTTCCTTTTAAAAACTCCGCAAAGGTTACGTCACTTCGTTTGTTAGATAACAAAAAAAAAAACAAGAAAACAAAAAAGTTCACAAAGGCGTCATCATGATATAAAGGTACGCATCTATATATACACCTAGATAGATTAATTAATATTAATATTAATAATATTAATATTAATAATATTTATTTACTCTAAAATACAGGGAACATGAAACGAGTAAATAAATATAATATATCCATAGGAGGACAACGCCTGTGCATGGATCATATGTATGTTGAATTGCAAAATATAATAAAATAGAGAGAAAAAAGAAATTATTGGTAAGAATGGTAGAGCATTTATTGTGTAATATTTGAGATTATTTTATTAATTTGATTTCTCCAAATCGTGTTAATAAATTTTTTTTATTTTTTTTGAAGCCTAATGTATTGCGTAATTGTTTTAAATTATTTGGTAAATGTTCGTACAATTTTGGAGCTATATACAGGTGACATCGTTTCATTAGGGATTTGTTTGGTTTAGGAACATTTTTTGCGCGTAATTTATATCTGGTTTTATGATTATGTTTAATTATGTCGTGTTCACTAATAGTTTTGTGATAATGAGTGATGGTATGTAAGAAGTAAAGTTGTTTAGTATCATATACTTGTGCATCATTATATAAGTCATTAGTTGGGTATAATTTTGATTTGCCTAACATTGATTTTAAAATTCTTCTTTGAAGTACATTTAAATCGTTAAAGTATGCCGTGCATGCAGCACCCCACACTACTATACCATATGTTATGTGTGGCTCGACTAAAGCTTGATATATGATTCGTAGATAATATTCAGTTAATATACCGGTTAGAAATTTTATTTTATATGCTCTGAATCTAATTTTCTTTAGTATGTGAGAAATATGTACATCCCATCTCAAGTGGGGATCTAGATAAATTTCTAAATAATTTGTATCATTAACTCTATTGATTTTTATATTTTTATCATTTACCTTAAACCGAAGGTGGTTATATTTTGGTAGATGATTAGATAATGATGAAAATGGTAAAAAATGAGTTTTAGTAAAGTTAATTGTTAATTTTCGGTTATTAAACCACTGAATAATTTTGCAAAAGTCATTTTGGATAATATCTTTTAAGTCGTTCCAATCCTTACCTTTATAGAGTATAGCAGTATCGTCTGCAAAACTGACTATTTTACCAGTACTGTTAATTTTGAATATATCGTTTAAATAAATATTGAATAACAGAGGACCCAAAATTGTAGATAGATGGTTTATTTCCGACACTCCATACAATAGAGCTTTGGAGTATACGTATAGTTAAATAGAAAATATGTATTAATCAGACCTCGGTAACATTATCCACAAACATTAGCATTAGACTAGATGCCATGCAAGCAGTTGTATTCGGATCTCCATTTTCCTCAGATTGCACTATAGTCTACGTATCGTCCATGCAAGAAGAGAGCTATCATTGACAAGATGTACATAGGGTGTGGCTCAAAATACACCCTTGTGCTGGGGGTGAAATTTGGTTACCGTTAGTTTTATAACCTTTTGTTGTATGACTCTATGCACTGATAGGAGCTTCCCCTTATTCCATAATGATCAGTTGTTTCAAGCGTTCGACTAAGGTCGAAAAGACCTGTTTATTATATACTCATTGGATTTTTTTGATCTAAAATCATATTGAGATATTTTTATAAATTGGAATTTTTCGACAAATCCGACAATTCTAACATTATAACATTTTTGTAAAGCATCTTACGTATCGGCCGTCCACTGCACGTACCTTTATGAACAAAATTCACTTATAATTATAAATAAAAATGAGGGAAACATTTACTTAACAGTACTACTTACCTAACATAGGATAAGATATAAGATGGTAGACTGCTGGAAGGGACACAGTCAAAGGTAACTCTCCAAACATTTTAGCTAAATAATACGCGGACAGTCTATAGGCACCGGATTGCCTTTCTTTGTTTATCACTTCTCTTTCTGGGGGAACTGAAACAAAAAAACAATATCAAAGAAAACGATAGCTTGAATTGTGGCAACACTGTGACAACCAATGCACTGCTAACTTGACGCTTTACCCATCTTATGGGATGATTGTTTGCCAAATTTAAACAATATTTGCGTGAAAGCTCCATTACTTTTCTAAAATAGAAAAGTTTCAACTCTCGAAAATGGATCATAGATAATTTATTTATTAGTCCCATCCTGATGAAATCATACAGGCTGTCCTCACAGTTGGCACTTTCCTTTACATGGAGTATAACGTAAGTCCTAAAAGTTTTGGCCAAAAATATTTAACAGTTTTTTTTTAATGAAGAAATTTATTTAAACTCTAACCAGTCATCATGAATTATGACTCAATACGTAACTAAACTATACTATCGAATTATGTGGAGTGGCCCATTCGGCTATACCAGACGCCATTTTCTTCTAATGTCTCTCATGAGGCCCTGGTCGGAATTCAGATCATTTTTTTTTTAAATTCGCCGTCTTAATTGTTCTCCATCTTAGGCTTCCCAGCCTTTATGATAAACCTTCCTAGACAGTAAGGCCCAAAGCTCCCTCTATTGGACGAGAATGCGGCAAGTTTTGAGGATTATCGTTTTTGGGAATGGAGGGTATGTTGTGTTGTCGAAGCCAGTTTTGGGTATCTCTTGAGTAATGCATGATGCTAAGTCAGGCCAACACATGATGTTCATGGACAAACTAAAGCAATTTGGAACGGCAGTTAATTTCGGCTCTGGGTTCGCGCCTAACCAAGTTGTAGATACTTTTTCTTATTTCTAATTTATACGACATCTTAAATCGAAAACATCAAAATAAATAAATTCCAACTAACAGTAAAATAAGTAAACAAGCTTTTGTTTCCAAAGGCAACTAGATATCATTTTGTGTTTGTTAAAATTAAAGCCAATGAGTTTTGCGCCAAAACTTTTAGGACATACGTTGGATCGTGGAAAAATTAGCAGTTTTCTCTAGTAACATATAAACCAAACCTGAACAAAACCTTATCCGGTCCTGCACATCGATCAGATCAAACTTACGATCTGATCAGTACTCAATTGCAGCGCTGGCCGCGTTGGTAAACAAAACCTTTACACATCGGTTCTAAAAAGACAAATCAAAAATGGTTCACTCGTACAGCAATATCAGAGTTATCCACATTATTTTAATTTACGGTGAGTGTCTTCGAAATGCCACGAAGGCTTCGCGAGTGCATGCAGATCCTGCAAGATTCTTCTCGTTTTTTTTTTGTTTGGGGCGAAATAAAATGTTTAGGGTACAAAACTGAGGTGCACACGGTTGACGAAATACGTGTGCGTAAATAGCAATCTGCTGCATTAATTCGGAAAAGGCAGACAACTTTGAACAATACTTACAAGTGACAGAACTGTACATGAAATTTCTTTTCGTTGAACGGTGTGGACTTTTTCACTTATTTTTTTACTTTCTCGCTATTGTTTCACCACACATTCACTTTGTTATTACAAAAATAGTTGTTTCTGAAAAGGACTGTCTCAACTTGCAGGAAGTTTATATCATGCATGCAACACTCTAATATGGAACGCTCATAATTAGAAGACAGTTCAGGTATTACGATAGATTTCGAGAAAACAGAATAAAGTATTTCCCATATATAAAAATCAAACTTACAGGAGCTAAGAGCTCCAAAATGTGCAAATAGCATCCAGTACGTCGTAGAAAAGAACATCCATCCCTGGATATCGTGCAGCGCCTGCTCCTTCCTCTCCAACTGGAACCACAGAAGTCCAGCCAGGAAGCCCAGACCTATCGTTTGCACCCAGTTCAGTTTGGACAGCATCCTTGGTCGCGCTTCCTGGAAGTTCCTTTGTGAAAGGACCTTGAACTGTGTCCAGAAACTGGTGGGCCATGAGAAGTAGCAGTCTGCGTCACTGGTTTCTGAGCTCACTGAGGATGATGCGTGGGAATGCGTGTCCATCCATAACCGTCGAACATCTGGTTCCATTGCGTTTAAGGTATCTTCTGCGAAAGAGATCGACCGTTACTCGCTTGGGAATATCGTTGAAACATTATTCAATTTGAAATGTACTTTCTTCACCAAGGTCCAAGCTTTGTCCCCATTATTGTGAGGAGGCAACGCGAGCTGACTATTTTGATAACTAGATCATGCAAAATGAAGGTAATGCAGTTTTGGGAATCACGGAAAGGGGGGTTTTTGAAATAAGGGTGTAGAGTAACGCAGGTAAAGTGGACGTGGTTCTCTTTCATTTCAGGGAACTGTATTCCTGAACACTGATAGAAGAATCGTTCCACGAGTCATTCTCGAGAGAATAAGTGCGGAAGTCTCGCCATCGTCGAACACAAAAGACGACGTTAACTTCGTGACTGAACGTTTAACGTTTGGAAAGAAACAGGAACATGTTATTTTCGTAAATGTCAACAGGCGTTCATTTCCCAGAGAAGAGAACCACGGGGTGCTGGGGTACTGAAATAGAGTGAATTTGGAACGTCTTCAAAACGATAATTATAATTTTAATGTAATGCGTAAATTTTTAGAAATGATTGTATTTCGAATATTATCACTTACGTTCGAGATATGGCCCGTGTGTAGCTGGTAATATTTTATTCGAATGGTCGTTATATTTTTCCGAAATGTAATGGTAATCATGTTGCAGTTCTGCTGGGTAATCTTTATTTTTCCTTGTTTCCTTGGCAGCGTTTATTATCATTTGCCTTAATTCTGGAGGTCCCTTTACTTGTTCCACTGAAAAAATGAGGGATATCATGAGTAACACCACGAATTTGACAGTCAGCGGTAGTGATAAGTGGGTCTCCATAAGGGCTGGAGCATAACTGTTCAGTCGGTCGGTGCACGCAAATAGATAGTGTGCTGTCCCTATCATTAAGTGATAAATTGGAAAGAGTACGCTACTGGTAGCGCAAGTGTGCACGATCCTCACCGCACTGCGTTGACATTGGCATACCATTCGTTACGCTACTCTCTTTCATTTTGGTACTTGACTATACATCAGACTTACTTTAAACTCTCGTGTAACATTTTTGTCATATGAGGTAGTACCATAGTCACGCACAGTGGTTATGAAAGGACTAGGCAAGAATTTAAAAAACAACGAAACAAAGTTGAAATGAATTTTTTCAAATTTAAAACCTTGAATAATAAGATGGCCATGAAAGCAAAACTTTGATCGCGCTACCTTCACCATGGCATACTATTAAACTTCAAGTTCATTCAATAGCACTTTTTTAAAACAAAATCTGAGAGATCTTGTATCATCCATTTTGTTTGTTGGGAGATGATTTGTACTCAACGACCACAAAAACCTATATGACATGCATCTAAACTTAATTACTGAACTCGCTCTGAATGTGTCAAGATGACCTTGAATTGGCTTTTACATGTATATCTACAGCTATTATTGACTGATTTGGACTGCGCGATCAGAAAAACCTAAATGGCATACGGTTGGGCTCAATTTGTCCGTGTCTTTTCAAAGTGCCCTGGAAATAACCTCCGACTGACCTTCAAATGTCTTCATGGAGACAAAATTTTAAAACTGTACTTTTTCGAGCTGTTCAGTGTTCTAGACCACTGTGTCATGGTGTAATCACATGAAGTTGCTTAGTTTCATTACCGACTTTACGCACACAAAAATATACTTACAAATAAAGTCTGCAGGGTTATAATGTGGCATAATATTCAGGCCTACGCTACTGAAGAAATCAACCACTTTGCAGGTGTCTCCAAAGTAGGCAGTCTGTCCGTTGCAAAGAAGCAGGAGTTTATCACAAAGGTGGAATATTTGAGATGACGGTTGATGAAGTGTGATGACTACCGTTTTGCCTTCTGACACAGCGTACCTCTTTAGTGTCGTCATCAGGCCGTGAGCAGCATGCGAGTCCAGCCCTGACGTAGGTTCCTGAAAAAGGAAGTGGCTTAGTTAGTGGCAATGTAATTAAAATACTAATAATAAATGGTCTCCATCCATCATTCAAGGTCACTCACGGTAACTTAAGAAAAAAAATAATGCAATAAGAAAATTATACAACATTATGAAAGGCGTATTTCAGCCTAAGCTGCTTTTAAATTAAATCCATAAAGAATAACATAAATATATGAACAAATAATATGCAATACAAAATAGAACATACGAAAACATCACCAAAACTATTTTTATAAATGCACAACTCATGCAAAAAAGGGCAAGGCGACTCAAAAAGAAACATACCTTCAAAACGTAGCACGCTTTGGTTATATCTTAGGTCAGCTTTCAATATTTTTTAAAATTGTAAAGGCTTAGATTTTTTAGATTTACTGCTGAACTGTTATATAGTTTAGCAGCATATGCATGAATAATTGGGCTTAAATAGAGCCGTTAAATGTTTTGTAATAACCAAAAGGTGCAAGTTGCTTGATTAACACGTAACCTGACAAGTTTTTCTGTTTAAAAAAGCATATGCTCTACTGGTAACGATCCTGTGTACTGTAGTGAGAATGAGAATATAAGTATAACGGACACTACTCTAGAAAAATTGTATAGGTTGCTTACAACCGAATTATACTCTTAAGGGTGAACGAAAAGATCTTTCCTCTAGAGATACAAAGAGTTGTAGGGGATAAAAAGAAACTTAAAATGAGACATGTATAATCTGTTGCAGCGGCTGCGTAGCTGGAGAGCTCATACATGTTTGCTTTTCGGCTCTGTCGCCACGACCAACCGCAGACAGCGCTGTTTCGCAGCAGTCCATTTCGACCGGTGCGGTATAATCAAGTACTCTGGAGATATGTCCATTTCAACCATCTGTTTAAGCATATATGCATAGAAAGCCTTTGTGGGTCTACTATATGAATACTCGGGCTGGTAGATAGGTTGCTATTTTGGTGGTGTGACATCTATATGTGACAAACCATTCTTAAGTGGAGATGATCACATTTTTCGCTTAGTTTGGCACAGTACTTTTAGTGTTTCGGAAAACCATATCCACGTTTGCTTTCCGTCCACCCGTCTCCACGACTGCTAGACCTATGCCGCACTGATGAGTTGCTAGTGACCACGAAACAGCGCTGTCTATGGTTGGCTGTGGTCACAGAGAAAGCTTGTTATTATCACCTCTCAGTATGTTTTGCTCAGTTTTTTGCTCAGTTTTTTGCTGTGCATTTTGATAAAATATGTAAACTAGTCTTACTTTATATCATCATTCATTTAAAATACGTAATTTTCAAGTAATTTCATAAAATATGTCAGATGGTACAAATTATCTAAGTTTACCCCATAACCAATGTATAGGCGTATTGGAATTTAATTGCAGAATAACCGTCTTTCACATTTCAAAGACTAAATGGCCCACCCCTGCCTCAGCCTCTGCAACACATCGCAAATTATGTTAATAAATACAATAGAAATACTCACGTCCAGGAGCATCAAAGACGGATTCGTCAACAGTTCGCAGGCAATATTCGCCCTCTTTTTCTCACCTCCACTTAATCCCCTTTTGATATAATCCCCTATGATTGTGTCCTGACACTGTCCAAGCTCCAAGACGTCGATGATGTGGTCCACATACTGCATCTTCTGTGAGTGACTCATTGTGTCGGGTAGTCTCAGTCTTGCCGTATATTCCAAAGTCTGTCGGAGGGTTAGGTCTGGGAAGAAGATGTCTTGCTGTAGGACGTAGCAGATCTTCCTCTTCCATCTTTTGCATAGGGGTTCTCTGGATGAAGAGAAAATTCAGGATCAGTCGACGTTTGGGGAAAATACAGCTTGTAGGGTAGAAAAGTTTGAAGGCTTCAAGGTAACTAATAGCTTTTATTTATTAATATGAGATGAAATTTTGGAATTTTATACTAGATGGGTTTTATTTTTCTACTTTATCCACCAGTTTACAAAGGAGTTAAAATAGCCCCATTTAACTGTTAATCCGTCCAGCAGCGTTTTTGTGTTTGACAATTCTTAATTGTCGCTAAACTGAACAACAAAACACTTCCAATATTATAGCTAAATACCTACCAAGATCTGAAAGCATACTACATTTAGGTTAGATACAAAAACCGTATCAAATGAAAAACATATTAGAAACTCAGTAAAAAAAATCACATACGTATTCAAAGCATTGCTATATTTTTGACAAACTCTGTTGGGACGAGAGGTTTGCTGGAATATGGGATTAACAAATTTTACCCCTACAGATCAACAAAAGTTTCAATGTAATGATGATTCAAAAAACAGTGGCAATACTTCTAGACTAGAAAGCACGTCCAAAAATAACTCAAACAGAAAAATGGCGTCAAGTAGGTTTTCTACTTGATTATATTCGGCACAAGTTAGACCCTCGTAGAAAAACTTTGGTTCGAACATGCATGCATGACAAAAGAGTTCATAATCCAACAATGCAAGAAAACAAGCAGCGTCTTTTTAAGAACTTTCTGATCTTTTTTTTTTTTGATCGTATATTCAACTCCTGAAATATTAGCACTGCTATTTGAAATAACCTGTGTGGCATAAAACATTCAAGGTAACATCTTGCATTGTCATTCTGAATTTTGTACTTTGAAAGGAGCCGCAGTGATGGCAAAAACGTTAGTACATTTTTCCCTCTACATCTGTAGCTCCATTTGGTGACCAGAAAGACATGAACAGTTATTGCTTGAAATCAAGTCAAGCTTAAGTCAAGTATTAGATATTAGCAGTATAGATCGAATCAAGTAGTTGAAAATTCAAGTACCGTTGAAGTGATACTTGATAATTTTTGTATTCCAAATGCGAGTAGATTACGAATAGGCAACGGAGGGAAACAATACATATTGAACAAAATAACTATGAAACTGCAAATTCGAACAGAAAAAAACCATTTTTTCATCAGTCGATACAAAGAAATGAAAACTTCTGAATTAGCTTTTCATTCGCTAACCATGAGTCAAGACACATGAGGGTCCGCAATTGATTTATCGCATCATCTGTTGCGGAGTTCCGTAATGGTCAGTGCAGCCCTAGGCAGTTCCCTTCCAATGGACACTGATGTTGCAAGTGTCGATAGAAAATCTCTTGCCATTAAAACTAAATTTGGGTATACATTTTCATGCCTTTCCCACTACTGATGTGATGTAAAATCTGCTTCAGAGATGGCATTACTGGAGGTCCAAGCGTAAGTTGTATGTGTTGATGATAATTACATTGGGTTCTTGTCTTAGATACACTTAATTGAGATTAAAAGCTAGAAATTAGTTGCGCCATTCTGGAAGCTACATATACAAATTTGCTGAATTTAAAAATTGAGAGAGATAAGAAATAATTATATTCACTGTACACTGTCGAATTACAAGCCATATACATGCTAACAGTAATTACATACAACGCGGGCGAGGTGATGATTTCTCGTAACTCTCGTGTTTTTCGTAATTTACAACTTTGAACATAACCTCTCTTCAGAAAGCACAACATAAAAATAACCCGTCGGGCACAGCTAATAGATATACTTCATTGGCAGCATATTCAGTAAATGATTTTCTCACACATGCAGACCAATACACATATGCGATCTTGCCATTCAATTTTTTTCTCTGAGATAACAACTACAGACATGGACCATTCGGCCTCACCAAACATATGCAACCAATAATGCGTGTAGTTAGGTGAGTGATTCCTCCATAGATGGACGTTCACAACGATCCTAATGAGCAAAGGTGGAATGACTGTTTGCACCCTAAAAACTACCTATTTTGCAAGATGACATCTTATAAGTTTTTTTTTTGACGTTTTATAGGTTTTTTACATGATACCCGTGCGGCTGTACAAATATGTATCACTGAAGGTCTGTAGTAGATCAAAAATATAGTTCGCCATCGAGTATCAAGTGGTTTGAAAATGCTTGGCTTCAAGTTAAGTAGAACAATAACAAATTCAAGCCAAGCATTAACGTTTCAAATAATTTTATTTGCAATCCAAGTCAGGTAGAATCTAAAAATATCAAGCTACTTGACTCGATGAATCTCTATGGACAATGAAAACATTCCAATGGATTCTTGTGTGAAACCGGTAATTTTGATCTTTATAGCATAGTCCGCCTCCGCCTTCTTCCAGCCGCAGGCGCTTGGTAAGATGTTGTAGAAAACTGTTTCAAGTGACTAAAAAATGGCGTTAAACTGGCGTCCTCTCCCGACCACACGGAACCAAACTACGCTCACCTGTTGAAGAATATCTGTCCCGAGTCGAGCTTCAATCTGCCACTGAGCGCGTTGAGTAACGTCGTCTTCCCACATCCGCTGGGCCCCATGACAGCCAAAACCTGTCCAGGGCGTACCAACCCATCCACATCTTGTAGAACTTGCCTTCCTCCGACGCTTACTGTAATGCCTCTGAAGGCCAGGTGCACAGGCAATGGCCGCTGGTCTGTGATCAAACATGGGAAGTGGACTGTTGCTGAGGTGTCAACCCTGGAACAAGAAAAAAATAACTAAGTCAAATGATCATGAATAGAGCTAGCGTTATCGTAGGAGCTAGACGGTATCAGGCCGTCGAGCGAGAGGTACCACCCGGTGGACTTATAGGCCTTCTATAGGGACCGATATGGCAGACAATCACATTAAAAGTTCAATTAAGCAAAGTGGTGGAGTTAATACACCGACACCAAAATCCGACACTGCCGACTATGGTACATTTATGATCTGTATATTCTAATAAACTTCTAAGAAATGTGCCTCTTATCATGTTCGTAATGATTTATTTATCAATGAAATACTGACAAGCAGTACGAAACGATTTATCAGTAACTAAATAATGTGAAAGATCTTCAACTGCTGAACAATTATTTTTTCGATCATAGAAGGGAAATGCTCTTTCAAATGTTGTGTTTGAAACAATACCACTGGTTCGGGAGGTTATTAAAGCCTCAGTAGTTCTTTTGAGTTTAAATTTTCCAAAAAGGCTTGAGTATGATGTAAGTCTACAGCTTACACTAAAAGTGTACTCGATCTAATTATTATACTGAGCTTCTTTAAGGCAGATAAGGTCCATAGCTTTGTACTATTTGCGTTTCCTGTCCCTAGAATGAAATTCTTCGAAAATACAGCATCCTCGTTAAGACCCTGAGTCGTCTGCCATACGTCCCTCCACGACTATTTTCATTATTTCATCGTGGCGGATAGCGCATATCAGATATTCATCACATATTACATCAACTGAATTGTCCTTCTGGTGATGTCCCAAATACGAATTTTACAGTCAGCAAGAGCGGAAGAAATGTTGATCAGACGCATGAGCACTAATAAACCAGCTGATTTTTCCTGCCAGTTTCTTGCAACTGCCGGTCTTGCTTAACAAGCTTATTTAGTTGGATTTTTCATGCATGTTGGTCAGCAATTCTGGTGGAATAGTTATATTTAGTTGTTTACAGATATGCGTTTGATTGTGTTTTGATATTGGATAGCCGGCGATTAAAACTAGTTTTTGGATACTAAAATTATGTTTTGCTTGTATGCAAAGGTCTTATAGGCTGTATACCGCTTTTAACAACAACAACGTTCTACACAATAAAGTAACAAACTAGATTAAATCATTATAAACCCAGTAGGTGGATATCAGTGCATAGCGAATTACAAACCGTATAAATTAATGCACTGTTTGATATGGGCATTGCGCCATATAATTATTTAATAGACACACCATTAAGCGACACCCACACGTATTGAAATTATAAAAACTCAATTTGCGATCGCACAATGCATTGAGCTCCATCATTGTGCAAATAAATGCGTATTATATACGATGCAGCTAGATGGAGATGTATTGATGCCATTATCGCTAATTTTAATAGAGTCGGGTTTAATTGTGTCGCGTGTCAACATCACGGATACCTGCGCTAAATGAAACTTAATTATATAAAGGTAAAACGTGTTCTTGTAGTACACTATTTTGTGAAAATATAAACGACATATTTTTTCAATGTTTAGTCATTATATTTCTTATTACTAGCATTTATAATCCAAAAAAAAAAATGTATTTGTATAAAATATGAGTTATATATATCCTACTAAGCCATGTTTCTTAGAAAGTGCAAAATAAAATGTACCGCTTAGCCTGTGACAATCCACACATTTATATCAACTCTTATGAGAAGTACGATATTTTCAGGTGAGATTTCAATTTTCGTCAGAAGCAAATTTATTCAGGTGTTTGAAAAGATATCACACGGAAGTTAGCGACCATTAAAACGTTACCTGAAAATAAGAAGATCCACTATCCCGTTTCCTAGATAGTTGTGGATTCTTTCGCAGCATAACGCGACAAATTTTCGAAGCGCAAAAAAACCTAAGTATTATTATTTTTTTCAATAGATACGCATTAACATGGCCGTTCACTAAAATCAGTAGATATATCGAAAACTTGGTAACACTGGTCCAGAAGCTTAGATGATCTAATAGCTTCCTCGACACAATTTGAAATAAGACAACATCAAGTGTTATAGTAGATGCGGTGTACTCGCCATTAAACAAACTAATAAAATAGCTTTCGTTAGTCTGGCCATAGACAGCCAACCGTACTTTCGTGCTATTTGAAAACTCCTCAGCATGGTGTAGGCATGGCTTAAGGTAGTTTGCATTATCAACCGAGTAACCGCTGTGGCCGCCAGATGCTGCCGATTCTGGCGCTATAGTAGATACGATCTACTCGCCATTGACAATTTGTGCATTTTCACTTGCACGCCTCTGTTGTTGGAGTAAAATGTATGTAGAGAAACGTCACCGTCACCGTCACTATCGTGGAAAAGCAGTGAATATTTCAGAGCAATTAGTAGTAAGCTGTCGACCTAGCCAAATACTGGCATGGCTGCCTCTACCTAGATTAATTAGAAGGAAAATTAAATGACTGGAAGCGACGGGGTTGACGCAAAAATGGCGCACCAACACGATTCCATCTCTCTTGTTATATGCATGACAGCTTAGTTGTATTAGATTAATTATTCAAATATACAGGGCGATATTCAAATGTTTAGATAGAAAATGAATTACTGCACAGTGACACTAATCTCACAAGACACTGCGCATGAAATTAATTTATATTTAATTTAATTTATATTTTCACAAGGTTATATGGTGTATTATACTTTCTTTTCGAGAGAGTAGAAGTGACCATGTCACTAGCAAATGCAGATCTTGATAGTATTAATAGCTGCTGGAGCTTCCACAACTTGAGACTAAATCCCTCGAAATATTCTGCCACATTAGATGGCAATAAAAGATTGTGTGAAAATATTAAGCCATTAATTCAAATCAAAGTTAATGGGGAGGAAATTATGTTTTCTAAAAGAGTAGGAAAATTGGGCATCTACTATGACTCGTACTGAATAACGTCTTGAAAAATTGTTAGCTATCCTCAGGATTGTGTTTGCAAACAAACATACTCTGCATAAAAACATCAAAATTAAATTGTGTCAAAACCTAGTTATTTCTAAAATGTCATATGGTTTATCTATCTATTACCCCTGTCTGACATCTATTAACGCAAAAAGTTTGCAGATAATGCAGAATACATGTGCAATTTTTCCGGACAGTTAAGACAGTTCGATCAGGCATCACATTTTTGTGTCGCATATTGCATGGCTGAGCATTCAAAACATTTTCAAATACTCCATTCTAAGCTTTACTCGCGGGATCGTACTAAAATCATCCCTCAGTTGTAAACTTGTTCCAAGGGCGTCTATGCATAATCTTTGGGCTCGTAACAGTTACATCATAACAATACCAATTCGTCACAGAAAAAACACTCCTCAGAAGATCTTTTACTTACAATGCAGTTATATCATACAACAGCTTATGCCACGATCTTAAGAGTATTCAGTCCATCCAGAATTTTGCAAAACAGTGTAAAAGGTATTTACAAGTATTACAGAACAACCCTAGCTAGCTTAAACGTTCTTCCGTTTTCATACTTTGTATTTTTGAACAGTTATTTTTCCGGTTATTTATAAGCTATTATTATCTCTTTTTCTTTTTCGTAAAAGAATCGGCATTACTTTGTATTACATTATATTGTGACAATCCATCCATTTTCACACTTTTTTTTATATTATTCGTCTTGTTAAGGTACTTTTGCGGGGTTAGATGGTGGAATAGCAGGTACTAAATCTCGCACCACGACTATGTTTTTTTTGTCAATAAAGGCGATTATTATTATTATTATTATTACCATTAAAAATAGATTGTAAATTAGGATAGTTCCTACCTAAAACAACGTTTACGCTGAAAATAATTATGACCCGCATCAAGGCCTTGATCGATATTATAGTATAAGGCTAAAAAAGCAATATAACTCATCAAATGAATAGCAAGATACTACTAACATTTTTGTATTACATAAGGGTAGTAATGAAAACATTAATAATAGTATACCTTCAAGAAACTGGACGTTTCAAAGTAAGTAAAAGGTTATAGGTTTCGTATCTGTCATATCTAAACCGATGGACACATCTTCCTTTTATGTGATAGAAATTAATCTACAGCTAGGGTGCCTTAGAGGTTCCATCGTACTAAACTAATGTACGTTGAATACGCTTCTCAAAAGCTGAAGTAATCTTTAATTGGTGAAATAATAGAATGAACATGTCAGGAGCAGTTATTCTCAAACCGTCTATGAAAATATTAGTTTGTTCGAAACAACTAGGGTTTGGCAGCGACAATGTATGACGTGCACATTTTCAGAATCGGAATGAAACACTATTCATCTACGTGAATGTCCAGCATGGCGTCCATGAGAAAAAATTAAGTTTATGACTGAAAACCCAACATGGCGTCCATAGGTGTAGTCTCTACAAAACAATGGTAAATTACTCCTCCATCATTGGGCAGAGTGTTATCCCAAAACCGAACGACAAGTCTCAAAATGTTTCAAATGAAGGCTGAGTAAACTGATTGCCCCAAAAAGTCGAAACTATACATAATTCCCAATAGGACATCGGAAACTGTATAAAATTGTCATAGCACTTGCGGATGAGTAACAATTAATACTCTTGAAGAGCACCTCCAATCTGTGTATGCTACAATCGCCTCATCCATCCTACGACAAAAGACACCCACTCACAGGCACTACAGATTACTATTTTTCAAATCAATAGCAATATCCGAATTCTAACAGAAGCATTCCAGGTCGTTAAAAAATAACTTCCTGGACCTTTTGTTTGTATCGAATCCATCGAGTTCGGAATCAAGAATCAAGACCATCAAACTGCCTACCTTCACAAGTGCCTTTATCAGAGTATTACTCCTAGTATTCATTTTTCAACACATAATAGTAACAAAATTGTTTCAGTTAGATTTTAGATCACCGATTTGGTACGACTTATTCCTTGGCATATTCATTATCCATTTGTTGATCCTGTTTTTAAATAGTCCAATTGAATTTATTTGTTGTAGCTCACATTATGAGCAAAAGCTTGTGTGGTTCTTGACTAGCAGTTTGTTTCAGGTCCCATTCAATGTGCAACTCTAACGAACAAAATGAAAACAAATATCAATACGCTTCACATTCAAGATGCTATCAAGTGATGATGAAGTTGACAGTGACTTGATGGACCTGCTCGATAACAGAATATTTTCTTTCACTTTCTCAGCGCATTCATTTCTCACACAGTCGAAACACACATTAGTAATGCAGGTCTACTGAAAACCTTATCAGACTTCCTGTCAAGTGTGATAGATACTCACGTGGCATGCCGTATATACGATAACACATTTTTAAAGCCCAGCTGAGGTGAATGAAACACCGGCTTTCGAAGTAAACAATTCCTAGTAAAAGATGCGGGATTTAATCTAGCCGCCTAAGTAGAAAAGAAACAATGGCAGTGGCAATATGATAGGTGCCTTAATGTGCAAATTCCAATTTTATTAGAGTCATTCACTTGTAAACAGTTTTCGGAATTAGAATGAGAGATTGATAATGGACAGTCACACACCACAGATGTGTAAGCAGGTACAAATTATAAAAGAATTCCAGACGTAGCATTTAATTTTAAAACTGGACGTAAGAGCTAGCCTATCGTATGTCTATATGTGTATCAAATGACAGCTTAGATGGCCGAAAGGTTGTTTAACAAACCAAACTTTACGCACATTAACTAAAATAATATGTAGATAGAGAGTGAGAGTTCCAGAAAATCATGTATACCCTAATTTCAATAATAAGTTATCTGGTTTTTGAGATTAGATAATCTACGTATTTATACAGGGTATTTAGAGATGCAAAATATACGGGTTTTGGACGCACCATGTAGCTATATTTTTCATTTTCAGCTTCACCAAACACCGGCGCCGTTAGGAAGTACTCGGGCACCAGATATATTTTTTTAATTAGCCCAAAGCCATACGAAGTCTGAAATGTTCTTTCACCTAAATAAAAAAACTTTTTTCATGCAGTGCTTTTAAAAAGGCCCCCTCCATTTATTTTTTTAGCTGGTCAAGTTAGCAAGTTAGACTAAAGCTACCTTTTAGCGTAAATGTGGCTGTTAAAAGCTTCAATATAGCTGTTTCGGAACATTTTTTAAATGGAATGGGAGGTCGTATGAAACCTCATTTTGAAGCTCCTTACGAATACTTAAGTTGAGCGTTTTTTGTACATTGACTTGCTTTTAAGTCATCAGCCAATTTCTGTTTGAAAGTTATGAAATAAGATATAAAATATTCCATTTAAACAAATTATCAAAACCTGTCAATCTACTTAAAATAAATGTCTAATATTTTATTGCACTAGACCCTTCCAAAAGAATAATATTTTTTGTAGCGTCTTTCTTAAGTTATAAGCGATCCAATAAACGAAAAGCTCAACTTTGACAGCTGCCCAGTCCATCAATTTGAAAGACAGTAATCATACGGATCATCAAAAGGTATCACACGATACTACATGTCATTTCGACATGTTCAACTGTTATTTTTACAATAAAATGTAGTGTTTATAACTTCAAGATCCCGAATTGTATATGGTGGGCCTTTAAAGATCTTGAGATATGGTTTTGATATTTTCAAAATTAGTTTTATTATATGTTTTATTCGAGAAGCAACGTCATAGAATTTTTCTGAAACAACTGTATAACCTTTCATGCTAATATCAAAATAACAGAGCACATTAGTTGCCAAATAATTAGAATGATCTTACAGTTTATAAAACTGTTGAAACGCTTATGCAAGAGGTCTTTACAGCTTTACCATTTTTTGTATATAGTGATTGAAATTCGTTGACCAGGACTTGATGAGACGATAACCGAACGAGAGTTTCTAATACTATCACTGATCAACATTTCTAATTCAGGTATAATATTTTTAACGATTCCGGTGACATCGATAAGTCGGCAGTCGCCATTTTTCTCTATTATAAAGTCAATTTTAAGAGCAATAATACTCTTTTACGATATCATAAATTCTATATATTAAATCAAAAGCAATGCAATAATAACGTCCTTCTACGCTGAAATAAAAACGACGTACTTCATAAGATCATTAACTTCCAGCTACCAGCATGACGGTTCTCTATAAAATTGTGATATAAAAGTTTTTTGAAAATAAAATATTTCTTGACCTGGATACTTTCATTGGAGATGAGTAGTTTCTCACACGCAGATATATATACTAAGTGACATATAAATCCGAACACCCAGTTTAAATGGTTTTATTTTAATAAAAGTTGGTGAATGTATTTATCTTACTGTAAATAACAAGTGAAAAAATTTTCAGCCTTATCAGTTGGACATTCCGGTTTTTATACTGCTTTTTTTTTAATTCACTAACGCTCTAAAAATGAATATTTCAGCCGCAGTAAAGAATCAACGTTGACGGATTTTGGTTCTTGACATCCTTTACGATCGGTTACGATGCCTAGAGTACGGAGACCTGTACGATTTCGTCAACTTAGTGAGTTTGATAGGGGCCGTGTAGTGGGACTTCGGGAAGCTGGACTTTCTTTTTGGGCAATTGCAGTTAGAGTGCAAAGAAGTTTCGTCTATCTTAAAAAAATGTTATGCAACGTTGAAGTGTTTTTATGTCAATCGCTCTATTTTGAATTTTAAAGTTAAAAAAAAGTTATGTGAGGCTATTATATTTCCAAGCTTATTTTACTGTAGCACTGTGTTCTATCATTGTCTTGATTCTATCACAAAAGCAAGACTCCAAAAACTCCAAAATACTTGTTGTCGATTTGTATTTAATCTCAAGAAGTATGATCATGTTTCCTTAAAGAGATTTCAGCTTGGTTGGATGTGTATAGAAAATGCTTGCAAGTACCATATAGCAGTGTTTACACATAAGATCATATCTTCTAGATCCCCCTTGTATCTTTATGAGAAATTTGTTTTCAGACGAAATAATTCAGACATTGATTTCAGACACAAAAAAAGACTAGAGATCCCTATGTATAAAGCAACTTTATTTCGTAGTTCATACACTTACAATGCTATCCTGATTTATAACGAATTAGATGACAATATAAAGGATTGGCCAGTAAACAGATTTCGTAAGCATGTGAAACAGATTTATTTGTCATTGTAGTAATTGTGGAAAAGTTAGTTTTTAATTCTTACATTTAATTTTATTTTACGTAATATATGTGTGTATATATGTATGCTAGGAAGCTATCAAGCTCGTTGTTTTGAAGCGTCTTTTGCTTGTCAAAGTTTCCTTTGATTGAGTGTTTCAATTTAGTATTTGGGTAGGTTAAGTAGAGTAGCCAAGAGCTAGACTTCGCCTACGTAGAGGTCACATTATGTTGTAGTGTATATAATGTGCCTAATAAAGACATTTTATTATTATTATTATTAAGTGTAGACACTGTGGTTAGATGTTGTCAGGCATGGCTTCGAGAAGGCCGTACGCAAAGAGCAAGGGGCACTGGACGCCGCCGTAGAACAACAGAGCGTGATGATCGCCGCCTAAGATTATTGGCCTTAAGGGACCGTTTCTCCACTACCAGGTCCATTGCAAATGAATGGTTTGCAGAACACGGAAGACCTATTGGCATGCGAAGTGTTTACCGACGAATGAGAAGTTTTGGCTTGTTTTCATACCGGCCACACTGGGTCCTCCCTTTAACTCGAAAACACCGACGTAATCGCCTTGAGTGGTACAGACAACGGTCACTCTGGGATCAGGAATGGAACAGTATTGTCTTTAGTGACGAGTCTCGATTTTGTTTAGGCATGCACGATGGTCGTGCCAGGGTTAGAAGGCGACGTGGTGAAAGGAGGAATCCACAGTTTTTTGTTGAAAGACGTGTTCATCACACTGTTGGAGTTATGGTTTGGGGTGCTATAGCTTATGGTTCCAGGTCACCTTTAATCTTCATCAGAGGTAACATGAACGTGCAGCGTTATATCCACGAAGTTCTAAAACCCCATCTTTTACCCTATCTTGACACCCTGGCAGATCCAACTTTCCAACAAGATAATGCCCGACCACATGTTGCAACAGTCACAATAGACTTCTTTCAACATAATGATGTCACATTGTTACCATGGCCACCAAGATCTCCCGACTTATCTCCAATTGAGCACGTGTGGGATATGATGGGTAGGAAATTGCTCAATTTGCAACGTCCTCCTCAGACTCTAGAAGCACTTCGAGAGGAGTTGGTGGTTGCCTGGAATGAGATACCACAGGAGGACATTGACCACCTGATTAGACGCATGCCTAGGCGCGTCGGAGAATGCGTAGCACATCAGGGTGCATCCACACATTATTAAATGTCAAAGGGCTTTAAAGCAGTGCAATCATTTTGCAATCTTTATCATTTACTTATTATGCTTCATTAAGTACTTATACAAAATTTTATTAAAATAAAACCATTTAAACTAGGTGTTCGGATTTATATGTCACTTAGTATATTAACAGGTTGTAAATAACGGTGGTATACTATACAGTACAGAACACTAAACAGCAGTGGCAATCTTTGCCCAGTGATAGCCTCTTACCACAAATTTAGCATCACTGGAGCGGCAATATTGAACCAGTGTTATTTATCATATGCAGGAGCTTCAAGTTTATATCAAGAATATGTTGCTGGGGCTTAATGGTGTTACAACCACAGGAGCAGGGAACAAGGAGACTGTAGATTCCAGGAGTGATGAATTTGCAAAAAAGTCCACGGAAGACTGCAAAAATACAGCTAAACTCGTAGAGTGCTATGAACGACGCTCTGACAAGACACTTGAGCTAGACCAGTATGCATTCATTTTGCAAGTGAAATGAGACAGTCCAAACAGAGATGAGGCAGTCAAATGATTGAACGTCTGGTTGATCAGAACAAAACTAAACTAAAACTATAACCTGCAAGTGACGACAAGTCTCACTCATATGAGGTTGGTTTTTCGATAATGCAGTTGGGGTAGGTTCCTTGTGAGTGCATCAATAACGATCCTCCACTGCGACTCTTTGGTCTAATGTGGTAAGGGGAAGAACAAAATCTCACCGCAACTGAACTGGATTTTGGTAAATCTGAGGTAAATCTGAGATTATGTGTAAAAAGAATGCAAATTCCGTAAGAGCTAAGCTGTCAGATTTGGATGTCGGTTTCTTTTAGTCCCTATACCAAAACTGGCGAGGAAGTATTGTAATCGCAAATCGTTACTAATAGTAGGATGAGAAAGCTTTGTAGTTTTTGAAAATCGGTCTAGTGGTAGCGGAGAAAAAGACCAAAAACGAAGAAAATAAAAATCACTCAAACTTCGTTTTTTGGCGCTTTAGAGGGTTTTGATCATTTTCAGAAAAAAAATTTGTAGGTGTTAAAATTTGAAGGTTGGCGATTGTAGGGGGTGGAGGAGGGTATACGATTTGTTTTTGAACTTACTAGGTATATGCATATGCTCCCAACCACCTATTTGCCATAGTTCACACATCATAGATTTACCCGCGCATTTGACTTTAAAACTGAATGTCAGGGAAATGTTATCGATCCTTATTCATATTGAAGCCCAAGAAATATACGGAGCTTGCACAAACCGAAAGATAGCTCGCTGCAGAGATGCCGCGCAGATGTGAAAAGGGACAATGTTACCACAAGGTCAGTTACTGCCAGTAGGACAGGAAAAGGATGTCTATGGACTGAGTGTATAGGCGTATTCTTTAATTCACCCATTGAGCCACCGGTGCAGGCAATTAACCAATTTTTCTTCTTTTAATTTGCGTCTGAGCGACCGGTTGTACACCAAACTTGTCTATAAACTTGTCTATATAGTTTATAGACAAGTTTGGTGTACAACCGGTCACTCAGGCGGAAATTTTGGTTGCACCGGTGGCTCAACCGGTGAATTAAAAAATACGCTTTATGCGCCTGGTTGTCCGAACCTAATACTTTATGAACTGATGAAGGCGTTGCGTAGGAAGTGCAGAGACAACCCTCTTAACGCCATTGTTTAACATCATAAACCACATGTGACGTCAGAAAACCAAACTCGAAGAGCTTGAGATACCGCATATTCCTATGCTATCCTATGAATTTTCTATATCATTCATCAAGAGTCTTGTACCCTTCGTTTAACACCCCCTCCTTTTGTGCCGCCATTGGCCTCCGAATATGTGTATGTGTGTATTAGAGAGAGCATTGCACCACGGGGTCAACAGAGGTCAAACGAGCCCAGTCACGTGACTAGCCCCATCGATCCCCAGACTAACGCCAGACTACCTACTACCTACTCCACTTATTTCCGACGAAATATACAGGCGCTATTTACTAGAGCTGGGACAAATTGGTACTTTTAGGGCCATATTCAGTTTCAAAACACTTTTCTGCATTTGTGAGTTCTCCAGCCAAGAATTGTGGAAAATCCTATTTGAAATCTACTGCTCAACTGGTAACCTACAAACAATAAGGCGTGCAACACTGGTAAAACAAGTCTCATGAAACTTGCCTTATACAAATTAATTTGTATCATTCTCGCACAATTCATCTATTTAAATCAGATTTGGATGAATTTTTGAGAGTCAATTTTTTTAATTACGCATCAAAATGAACATACTCGTGTAAAACATATCATAACGTGCTTTACAATACAATTTATATGGAGAGGTTTTTTTAAATAAGCTAATAAAAGCGTGTTAAAAAAAATAAAAGATTACTAGTTTATATAGGAGAACGTCACTACTAGATCTTCCTTAACCTACATTAATTCTACATTAAAGGAGTGATGCTACAACCTATCTTTTGTTGCAAAACCGCAAAATTGCCAAAAAACGGCTTGAGCTAGTTCTGTATTCACGATTCGATATAATACTAAGAATCACTTGAATCATTTTAAGAACGTGTCTGTACCATATTCTTATTTGCCACAGGTTCTATTGCTAGTACACGAAAATTAAACAGTAGGTTACAAAACCGCGACATTGGTTTGATTCAAAAAGAATATTCTACAATGAATTATTTGATCCAGTAATACGCCCATCTCTATTCTCCACTGCTCCTTTGTGCGTTGATGACGTAGCAGCCATGCATTCTCTATGCAAATTGCATAAATAGTTGGAACTTACCAAATAATGGAATCAGATTGGACTTTGGACCGCCGGATTTTTGTAGCACGTACCTTCTGCGTTGACATTAAGAAAGATAGTGTACCTGTTTGGTCAAAAAATATACTGTTGCAATTTTTAGTTAACTTAGTCGAGACATTAGTCCTACATCTTCAAAATCAAGAAAATGGCGTACCTTTAAGTCTTTATGCTGTCATTCGTACAACCCTTTGTGGTTAATTTGATATAATGGATATTAATAATTGGTAGCGGCGAATATAAAACAACTCACCAAATGTCATAGGTACAGTATTTTACAACCGATATTACACAACCGGTCACCGTAAGTAGTATAAATAGCAACACCGATTTGCTGATTTTTGTCTGGGAGATTCAACCTTTAACTTCCCCCCGATTTGACAAATCAAACAGCAAGATATTAACTATGAATCTGTGACCATCCCCGAAAACCAGTATGCCGCAAAGGATTGAAAAGTCTCCTGGTAACTGTTTTATCTGCCTCCAATTTTTAAGGACAGATACAATTTATTTATATTTTAGATTCCTTCAGAAAAGTCTACTTAAATCTTCCGGGTTATTTAGATATTGCAAACATTGTTATTCACGTTCTGAACAATAGTCTACTTAGGCGAAGGTTTTCGTACATTATAGGTTATTCACATAAAAAGGAACTCATTAAAAAAGATAAAAATAATAAGCCGAGGTATCTTTAAATAGACCAAGGCTCTGAAATAATTATTCTGAGGATATTAGCGAGGATGATGGGAAAAATCGTGTAAATGTCGTAATTTCTATAAAAAAAATAATCTGGAGCATCACTACGTAGGATACGGCGTCTTTTTCTCGAGTATACATTACGTCAAACGTGGTAGCAAATAACAGTAACATTTCAAGATATTTCAAATCGATAAATGACGGATCTGTCTACGCTAGATCTATAAACGGAGACCTATTTTCTTGTGCTCTTTTATACACTACGGATTCATACTTCCTAACAATGCTTTTACTTAGAAAACTACCTTCGCACATGGCGATCATAAATATCTATATCTCAAATCACGTAGGAATAAAACAAGTTGAACAATTTTTAACTCAGTTTGGTATGAACAGTTACGGTTCTGAGTTTTACCCGATTCAATATTGCCAACTACAGGCTTCAATACAAAGCTGTCACTTGCTGATCCGTCGTTTATTTCGTTAGACGTCAAATTGTAATGGATACCCGTGAAAAGTACCATAAGTGCATGGCAGCTGGATTATGCTTTTATTTTTATAAAGTGTTCGCTTTGGTTAGCCTTAGTACAAGTTCACTACTGTTGGTTATCCTGCTATTATTGTCTATAATATTCGCCGTGGTCCATTAGCAAAACAATGTGAAGATGATATAAGAAGTTACTTGGTTGAATATTTATAAATGCAGATGACGGAAGTTGGGTAATTTTTTTTTTTTTGATGTTCCAATCAAATGACAAAGACGAGTCTGGATTTTCTAAAATGATGGTCATCCGATTAAAGTGAAAAAGAGCAGTATTGAAAAATGTTAAACCTATCTGACTGGGCCTATGTTATTCCCGTTTGCAAATCCACAGTTAAAAGGATGCAGGTTTATATTCGAAGATGAAATGACTGTAGCCTGGGAATCGTTGCGTGATTCTATTGAGAAGCGGCAATAGTATCTTCGGATGAATAGTTGGTTCTGCAAATGGTGAAGTGCATTCAGTCTAATGGAAATTATTTTAAATGCAATACAGAGTTTTTTTATAAGCCTACTCAGGGGAGCCTCGGGCAAAGCGAATATTCCCGATTACATACAAACCAAAGGTCAGACAGGGTAACCAAGTAAATCTCTGTTTTTTTGTGTTGATAATTCCAGCTTTATAATATCTCCATGATTGCCTTTTTAAGGCATCTAACGAACTTTTCTAGTGATTCAAATCAGATGGACCGAATCGCTAGTTTTGAGAGAAATTAAGGTACATACATATTTCCAAAACAAGCGGCAAATCGGATAAGGGCAAGGTGAATATCCTAAATCCATACCTTTATTATTATTGTAACATGCTGCATATGAATTATAATGATCAAACCGGTAATTTTCCGTAACTACAAATAAAACCTCAATTAATTCAAGCAAAGCCATCGGTGCTGTCAGAAATGTTCAGAACTTAGAGCACTAATGTTGCTTCCAAGTCGATTTTTGTATAAAATTGAGTACTCAACCATTTGTAATTGTATTCAATTTGCGCCATGTCTGTGTCCGCTAAACTCGGGGGTCCAGGTAAAGTGTATGACTTACATCGTTTTGTTTTATGTATTTGTAGATTAAATAGCTACAACCTACAAAGAATTATTGTATGCAGAACGCTTAAGACGTTCACTTTGTCCGAGTCTCCAGGCAATGACTTCTATTCGCTACTGATATTGCGCCTTGATACTATCAGCTGAGGAGGCGTATGTTTCATATGAGAGACAAAGGATGTGAATAACGCGATGGAATAGTTAAACAGTCCTTTTGCGTCTGCCTAACTGTTCAATCCATACAAGAATCCTTTCTTGGAAGCATTGGCCTTTTATGTCTATCTAAGTGACCCCTGGGAGAACGTATAAGGAGCTCAATGTAGCTAAGGTACTGTGATCTTCGACACCTCCTCGAATACAAAATACAGAACTACTATTTTATTTCATCTCATTTTGACCTTAAAGAGGACGCCACTGTTTTTGTCGTCTATGTACCATCAGGCATGCTGTTAAAATGCTCTAAAAGACTACCATAACATCTAACACTTAGCCCTAGGTTATCGTATGCTATAATCTGCATTCACTATATACACACATA